AAATTCATGTCATAATATATAATAAAGAATTATGGAATAATTCATTGATCATGGTAAAATTATGCATTGCCTATGTCACAACGCAGCATCTCATTAGTAATTCTATGAGCTTTGATTTTAGAAAGTTCCAACTGAATTAAGTGTACAGTAAAAACATGACTGGCGCCCAATACATCAAATGCACCGGCAAATGGAAGATAATTTATCTAATGCATCAATTTCACAACCCCTTGCTTAAAATATACATTATCAAGAATAAACCCTGACCCCAACCTTAATTCATTCAGGAAAGTGAAAAAGAATGAAGAGATGCTATATTCCTTCCTAAAATCAAACGAAGCCAACTAATACGTCAACTATTATATGTTCAAAGTATGAAAGTAAAACAAAATGCATAACTTTAAAAAATGCGTAATTTTAAGAAACAAAACACTATTTTATTCTTGCATGTTTTTTTATTTAATTAATAAATTGTTTACTGTTTTATTTGAGCAGTGAAGAGTTCTTTTAAAGGACCACTATAGTGCCCTGAGTGTGCTCCAACCCTCAGGGTCCCATTCCCGCCAGGCTGAATGGAGAGGAAGGGGGTCAAAAACTCACCTTTCTCCAGCGCCGGGCTCCCTCGGACTCTCCTCCTCCTTTGGCCGTCATCGGCTGAATGCGCATGCGCGGCAAGAGCCGTGTGCGCATTCAGCCAGTCCATAGGAAAGCATTCTCAATGCTTTCCTATGGACGCTGGCATCTTCTCACTGTGAAAATCATAGTGAGCAGCGCTGAAGCGCCTTTAGCGGCTGTCAATGAGACAGCCACTAGAGGCTGGATTAACCCATTTATAAACATAGCAGTTTCTCTGAAACTGCTATGTTTACAGCAGGCAGGGTTAATCCTAGATAGACCTGGCACCCAGACCACTTCATTAAGCTGAAGTGGTCTGGGTGCCTATAGTGATCCTTTAAGCAAGAAAAAGTGCTTTAGTGTTTGAAGTGTTCCCTTAGAGAGGGGTTAAAATATCTTCAGATAATGAATATATACGTAAATGCAATATATACTTTTTTTTATTATGATGGCAATTAACATCAAACATTTCATTTTCCACTTTTCCGAGTTCCGGTTTAAACTAGGTATTATTCAACTATATTTTTAGTCCAATTTAAGGATATATATAGATATATATATATATATATATATATATATATATATATATATATATTACTTCCCTGCAAAAGCTGAAACTTTTGATTATGATAACTAAAGTTTCAACTAATTCATACGTATTCGTGCATGTTAATCATCCTTTGTGTAATACCAGTTCAGGAACAATTTGTAATTTTGAAAATGTGTCCCCTTATTTCAGGGGTAGGCTGCCTTGGGCACTCCAGATGTTGTGGGCTACAATTCTCTTTATGCTCTTACAGCTCTCAGCTCTTACGGCCATAGTGCTGGCAAATGATTAGGTGAGATGAAGTCCTCAAAATCTAGAGTGCCAAATTTTGCCTACTCCTGACCTATTTAGATAACTAACATAAAAAAGTGTGCAAATGGATCAACTCTGACGTTCATCTATATTAGCATTTTATAAAGTGCTCAAACTATAAACTCATGCTCAATGTTAATTATTTTGTTTCTGCAACCAGTAAAATGAAAAAAACACTTGCAGGACACATAAAAGGTTATTCACTAATGTGAGAATTCAATTCATTTATTTCAAATTTAATGGGTTTCTCCAACCTTTTTTTTGTTTGTTTTGTTTTGTTTTTTAGAATAATGCTCTATTGGTATTATTCTTTAGGTCCCCCCCAAAAGCAAAAGCTCAAAGAGCATTTAAAAAAATGTTTTTACTTACCTTAATCACCAGGGGCTGCTCGGTGAGCCCTCGTCACGGGAGACTTGCAGAGTTCCATCAAAGGCTTTTATTGGAGTATTTAATGGTCTTAGAGTCCACAAGGAGAGTGGAAAATAGAGAGAGGAAGGCAATAAAGGAGGAGGGAGAGATGGAGGAGGGGAGGAAGGGAGGCAGGAAAGGAGGGAGGGAGGGAAGGAAGGAAGGATAGGGGATATGTAAGGCTAAAAATAATAGCGGATTAGTGGTGAGGTCTATAATTAGTGTGGGAGGGAGTGGAGACAAGAATTTACCATCTGTCAGCAATGTGCAGTACTTGCTGATGACAGACTCAAAATATGCACAGGGTTGACATTAGGTATTCTGGAACAGAGTTCTGGGCTGCCTAAGTCACATGTGCAGGGATTGAAATTAGGCCCCGGCACACAATTAAAAATAGGGCGGTATGTGCAGTGTTTCAAGCAGAATAAATGCACATAAATACTCCCACCACCATGACCACTTCAAAAAGCAGAATTGGACATGATGGTTGGAGTAAACCTTTGTGGTCATAATAGCCAAACTTTAAAAAGTTAGCTTTGCTTCCAGTTCAGATATTTCTGCCTTAAATCTGAAATTCAAAATGAATTCTTATTTGAATGAATAATTCTGATAGGGCTGCATTTTCTTAGCAAAATTAGGTTTTGGTATGTTTGGTTTTTTTGACAGTGTTATTTGTTGAATTGTTGGGGATTCAAAGTGAATTGGAAATTTAAGGCCATACTTGCCAAAATGGAAACATAGCTGACTTTGGTCATTTTTTCAGTTTGGCTTTTTTGGTCTTAAATTTGAAATTCACTTTTAATTGACTTAAAATCTCTGGAACTTCTCATTTTATTGAATATTCCTGTAAGTAGAAGATCTCCCATAGACTTTGAGCAATTCCTGTTCAATAACAAGAGGTATGCTTACCTCTGCTAATAGAACCCAGCCCAAAGAGTTTAATATCTGCTTTATTTTATTGCATAGAGCAGTATCTACTTTCTTTCAGACACTGTTTGAAGAGTGTGCATATATATTTTATTCTTCTATATTAAAAATATTTACATAATTAGATAAATAAAATAAACTAGTACAATTAGTCAATTTAAAAGCACTGGGATGTATAGACTGTGCAAAACGATACCCACCAAACGTACAAAAGCACAGACCTCTAAATATATATTTTTTAAAGTTGCCTGGTCCTTGATCTATGCACTCAAAGGGTTAAACTTATCAAAGAAAATTGTTGTGTTTTTTTTTTTTTTAATTCTGTGATGTTTTCTAATGACAGCGGATTCCCTAGAGTCTTCATTTTCAGCTCTGTATCTCAGTTGTAATGATAACTGAAATGCTTGTAACAATGATATGAAGCCTTTTTAAGTGCTGTCTATGGTCACTTAATGCGTATGACAGTATTATGGAGTTTGGATAAAATTGGTCACAAAGGAAATCTCTTGTCAACATGCTCTCCAATCATATAACCCGAGATTTCCATGCTGCGTTCTTTATGTCAACGTCAATTTTCATACAAGGTTAGTCTGTGTCTATTAATAAATGTGATTTTAATCAAATCTGCTATGCAGTTATTTTGACATGAGTGTCTTTCCAAGCTCTTTTTAATTTAACTCTTAATCTAAGGTTAATGGAAAAAAAACTGTTCAGTAAAAGGTGTATTAACTACTAAGTGTGGCACATATAATACAAAATGTATAAAATTAAAACAAGAACATTTATCATAAAAATATTTTGCAATACACCCATATCTCTAAGTTGAGACTTTTTGATTAATATTACCTTATTTTGTTTTGTTTAAATAGAGAATGTTTTATTTTCAATTAAATGTGACAATCCAGGCTGGACTCTATCTCTTTTTTTATTTTTTTATTATTCAGACAATGTATTAAAATTTGTGCAAAAACTTTATTCTAAAGATAAGATATAAAGACAAATTCATATTCACATTTTATGTTCAAGTATTTGCAGCAATTCCTATAGCTTTGCAATGACTGAAGTAGGCTCTTACCAAACCAGGAAGTCAGTCACGATGGTTAATCACTTTCTGTAGCATAATATCAACAAGTCATAACATCATGTACAGCAGTATTCTTGGAGCAAAATGGAAAGCACTTCTTATTTTGAAAAGGGTGAGAACAAGGAGCAAAATTCATAATTTTATTAAAGGACACGGAAGCTCATATTATGCTTATCTACTTCTTTATTATACCTCAGCAGCAAAGAGAAGGTATAAGACGTTCATAGAAAAAAACTAGAAACAAGTACTCAAAGGGTTAACATAGCATTATAACCTTTAACCAATGTGAACAGTCCACATATTAATAACCACCCATGTGACCTTAACTCTCCCTCTTTCTTTGCTGCTGCCTCAGCTAAGTATTACCCAATTTTAGCTCTCTCTACTTTCAGAGGAGCTTCTGTTTGAATTTGCTGGATTTATGTATATTTATTTATGTATATTTCTTTATGTATATTTATTTTCATACTGGTTGTCGATGTTTTGTTTTAAATAGGGATCAGATGTGTTTAATTTTTTCTTCCAGTTGTTTCCCACCTTCCCCGGTGGCAAACCCCTCCCTCAACCCTGTTTGCCCCGGCGCGGGTATTCCACATCCGAGTGCCGCTCGCGCATGTGCAGTGGTGGCCGCACAGCGCGGTGGCCATTAACATTGCCTGCGCTGACAGGGATTTTGCAGCGCTTTTCCCGGCGCCCCCTGTGCCCTGAGGGGCGGGCGCTACCAGATTGGTTGCAGGCTGTGGCTCGCAGCTTACCAGTGCTCCCTTGCGGCCATTCCGGAGGGAACACTCGGTAAGCTGACAGCCTTTTTGCTTGTGCCTTGCCCTGTCAATCCTAACCTACCACATAGGTACAATACAGGCAGATACAGTTGAACATATATAATTCTGGTTCATTCACAGCCTAGCCGATTGCCACTTGCTCCCACTAGTAATAATTTTATTGTCCCTGGCTTATTGCTAGTAGACCTGATTCAGGTGCTTTGGCTAGTATGCAGACCCCCAAGGATCAGGAGGTTTCCACTCCTACTGCTGCCAATAAGGGCACCAAACACCGCATGTTCCCTACTACACGTCCAATCTCCCCCAGGGAGAGGATGTGGCATCTATGGAGCAACTGAACTCAGAGGAGTTCCATTCACTCCTGGATGCGACAATGACCAAATCGGTCACCCAAGCCATCTACACGCCGATGGGGGCAATGTCAGATAACCTGACCCAATCCATCAGCAACGCCATCTTGGCATCTAGACACAACCCTAGTGGCCTCCATCCCAAAGCCCAAGATAACAAGCCTGTATGCCACAGCGGCCGCAAGGCTACAGTAAAGACCCACCTTGTGGGCAATCAAACCTCCAAAACGAGTATGACGGACAGGTTGCGCCCTGTCACTAGTGAGGAAGTGGGGCCCCCACGTAAAGGAGCCATCCGCCGGGCAAAAACGGTGAGGGCATGGAAATGGGCAAAAGCCCTAACAGATGTATCTGACTCTGATTCGGACCCTGAGGAGGTATTGAGCAAGTCCGAAGAAATCGTCTCTATTGACTCGGAGAACTCTTCTCCGGATCGCAGCCTGGCAGTAAAACCAGCCAACACTGGTAAGGTGGCCGCGGATGATTCCACCATTCTAGACCCACAGGGTGAACCCCTATTTAACCCGGATGACCTACAACACCCTAGGTCTACCGAATGGTTCCCGTCTGACCATGTGGCCCAGTACATAGCGGCCAGGATTAGAAAACCCCTGGATAAAACCACCAGGAATAAACTTAGGGCAGAATGCCCACACCTGATGGTCCCCGATATGGCTTTTGCCACACCGGAGGTAGACCCTAAAATGGCCCAGTTCCTGGGAAAAGCTGGCTGGAAAGCCAAGAAAGGGCTATTACTCCCTGCGCCACTGCCAGGACAAGGTGCTTGACTCCTTGGGCCCCAGCGCAAAAATCTTTGACATGGTCGAAGCTGCACTCTCCGAATGGCACACCAGTGGACCTCTAGGCTATCCAAGAGTGGGCTCTGCGCTCTATTTGCCTCATCGGCAACTCCAGCGCTGTGTTAAGTACAGAGAGGCGTAAAGCGATCCTCATGAAGATTGACTCAAAACTGGTCAATATGGCCATATCTCAGCCTGGGCCACAGACAAAAGGACTCCTTTTCGGAGACAATTTCGTGAAGGAGTGGGGCACTTATGTGAGCACATTTACAGCTCTGGACAAGGCGCAAACAAATTTAAAGAGAGTGTTCTCTCCAAAGGTTTTTGGGGGGGCTGGCAGACATCGGTGCCGTCTGTCCAGCCGTCCATCACGGGGCCCCACTACATCGAGGTTCCTATAGAAGGAGTCCAGAAACCTCCTACATTTCTTTCCAGTCAGGGGCAGAGCATGGCAACCCAGAGGTCACAGGGGCGCCAAGTACGGCCGACGGCCTTATGGTAAGTGCTCTTCCTTTTCCCCCTTCTTATACATCATATGTGGGGGGCAGACTATCCCAATTTATCAGGGCATGGCACAGGCTCACGTCCAATGCCTGGATTCTCAACACAGTTTTAGGGTACCACATAGAGTTTGTGCAAACCCCAATTCAATCTGCAGTGCCACGGCGGATGGTGTTTACCCCACAGGACAGGGAACTCGTGTCGAGGGAAATCAGAGCACTAATGGAGAAAGGCGCGATCTACCAAGTCGCACCTCACTCCCCTGGTTTCCTGAGCAACCTTTTCCTGGTTTCCAAAAAGGGCGGGGAAGTAAGGCCGGTGATCAACCTACGCCCACTCAATGCATATGTGCGATATCACCACTTCAAAATGGAAGGGATTCATTGCCTTCGAGACCTTCTCAGGCTGGGAGATTGGATGGTCAAACTAGACCTACAAGACGCCTATCTCACCATCTCCATCGCGAAGTAGTGTCATCACCTCCTCCAATTTCAATGGAACACAAGGATGTGGAGGTTCCAGTGCCTGCCATTTGGCCTATCCTCAGCGCCATGGTGCTTTACAAAACTGCTGAAACCAGTGGTGGCAAGGGATGTCCCGAACGGTTCGCCGAACGGTTCGCCGCGGACCGCGAACATATGCGGTAAACTTTGACCCTGTACCTCACAGTCAGCAGACACATTCCAGCTAATCAGCAGCAGACCCTCCCTCCCAGACCCTCCCACCTCCTGGACAGCTCACTAAGAATGCAGCTTCACAATGAATGTAAAATGGATGCTGTCAAGGAGGTGGGAGGGTCTGGGAGGGAGGGTCTGCTGCTGATTGGCTGGAATGTGTCTGCTGATTGTGAGGTACAGGGTCAAAGTTTACCGCATATGTTCGCTGTCTGTGGCGAACCATTCGGCTAACCGTTCGGGACATCACTAGTGGTGGCACTTCTGCACAGCAGAGGAGTTTGCATGATCATATATTTGGACGATATGTTGATCATGGCACAGGATGCCCTCTTACTTCAACAACACCAATCTTGGGCGATATCTCTCCTCCACAACCTGGGATTCCTTGTCAACTGGGAGAAGTCAGTGCTAACCCCCTCCCAGTCAATAGAATTCCTAGGATTTAATATAGAGGCAGCCTAAGGGACCCTAAGATTACCGCTCACAAAGATCAAAACCATCCAGAAGGAGATTTGCAGAACGTTGGCTCGCCCAACGCTCACCTTGAGACAACTGGCCAGGATAATTGGACTCCTCTTGGCCTCCACACAAGCGATCTTCCCGGGACCTCTCCATTACAAAGCCAGTCAGCTACACTCCTACTCATACTCCGTTCCACTCGATCATACAGCCAAGGAAGAACTCAGTTGGTGGCTGCACCACATGGAAGCGTGGAACGGCAGAGCAATCTTCGGCACCGCCCCAGATTGCATAAAAGAATTCGATGCCAGCAAACAAGGTTGGGGAGCGCATTGTGGTCATACCTCCACAGGCGGAAGATGGTCCCAATCAGAAAGGGAATCAACAGCCTGGAACTCATGGCAGGATCATTCGCTCTGAAAAGCCTATCAGGTCCCACAACACATTGCTCCATCATCTTACGGATTATACATGAACCGCCTCAGCGGCACCAGGTCCAAAATATTGGCAGATTTAGCAACAGAATTCTGGCAATTATGCTTGGATTGCAACATACCAGTACAAGCCAAATACATCCCGGGGCTCTCGAATACCGTAGCGGATTGGAACTCTAGACACCTGCGGGATGCAAGCTACAAACGCTTTGGGGCAGACATACATAGACCTGTTTGCGTCTCGATTGAATACGCAACTCTCAGAGTTCTTCAGCTGGAGACCAGATCTGGAGGCTTTAGCTATGGATGCATTCCTATAACCATGGCCGAACAGACGACTGTACGCATTCCCTCCTTTCGCTCTGCTGGCCTGGACCTTGGTGCACCTCAACCATTCACGGACATCCCTGGTTCTCATAATGCCATTCTGGACAGCGCAGCCTTGGTTCCCTTCACTCATGGAGATGTCTATAGACCTTCCCAGACTGCTTCCCGAGAATCCACAGCTCCTTTCAGACTCTGAAGGGAACTCACATCCACTGATGATGCAGGGCCAAATCAAATTGTTAGCGTGCCTCCTTTCCGGGGACCCTGGGTCGTGCCAGACGTTCCACAATCAACTCTCGAACTACTGGCAGGAGCCTGGGCTCCAGGAACAAGGAGATCCTACAGTCAGGCTTGGAACTCATGGAGTGGTTGGTGCATGGAACAACAAGTGGATCCCGTATGTGCCCCTGTGAACTACCTGTTACGTTTTCTTACACTTCTATACGACCAAGGTCTTGCGTACTGGACTATTAATGTCTACAGATCAGCGATCCCCGCTGGACACAAGGGTATAGAAGGATCCCCAGCAGGTAAACACCTCCTGGTATGCAGACTCTTACGTGGCGTTAGATTTGCAAGACCACCACAACCTCAATATACATCAGTATGGGACATGAACCTAGTCTTAATCTTTTTAAAACAATGGCCACAGAACTCTAATCTCACACTTAAACAACTATCAGCGAAATTGGCCATGCTCTTCTGCCTGATATCATGCAAAAGAGTTTCAGACGTCCGAGCATTGGATATTGATGCACGATCATTTACCCCAACGTGAGTGACATTCAACATCTCCATACGTACTAAATCAACTATCTCATCAGTGTCATACCCAGCATTCCCTCACAATGCAAACCTATGTCCAGTGGCCTGTCTCAAAGAATACGAGAAATTGACACAGGCATTTCAAAACCCTAGACATCATGAATTGTTTCTGGCCATTAACACGCCACACCAACCAGTATCTACGGTAACAATAGCCCGATGGGTGAGATGGATAATGACCTCTGCGAATATAGAGACCTCCATATATGGGGCACACTCCACTAGAGGTACCATGGCGTCTAAGGCATTTACTTTGGGATGCAGATTAGAAGACCTTTTGAGAACGGCAGAAGTGTCCCGCGAATCCACCTTCAAGGTATATTTTTTTCATCCTACAGACCATGTATCATTGACAGTTATTGCACAGCTTTAAACTAGCATAATATGAGCCTCCGTGTCCTTTAATAAAATTACCAGATTTTACTAATTACATGACGTAAAGTCATGATTTTATAAAGGACACGGAGGCGAATATTAGCCCACCCGGTAAGTATCTCATTTTTCTACCAGCTAAAAGAAAATAATTTAATTCCCACCCTGGTAAGTCTTCGAATTGAGAGTCATCATTGGGTTTTGTCTAGATTCAATTTGGTTATGTATGACATAAATATATTGCATACAGTAGCAACTATAGCATGTAATTTAGTCTGTAGCCAAATCGCGTATAGTACGAATTATCCAGTATCACCATGACAAATAGTCTCTAGATCACATTTTACCATTTCCTCTCTCTATCCCATTTCCGCTTGATGAGCAACAGTCGACGTCTTGGATGACCAGTTATCCTCACAGTTACCGCGGATAAGTTCACCAGATCCATTCATATGGAGGAGTTCGACACAACGACTACCGGATATGTTGTTCCAGTTTTGTTCTACTCAAGTTTAATAGTTGATTAAGTTTCGGCATTACCAAAGAAAGAGGGAGAGTTAAGGTCACATGGGTGGTTATTGATATGTGGACTGTTCCCATTGGTTAAGGGTTATGTTAACCCTTTGAGTATTTGTTTCTTGTTTTTTTCTATGAATGTCTTATACATTCTCTTTGCTGCTGAGTTATAATAAAGAAGGAGATAAGCATACTACTCGCCTCTGTGTCCTTTATAAAATCATGACTTTACATCATGTAATTAGTAAAATCTGGTAATTATTTACTATACTTAGAAATACTAAATAAGAGTAACAACCCCCCCTCCAAACAACACCCCCACCCCCAAAAAAACAAATATAAGACCTAAAAACATAACTGAGGATCCAAGTCATGATCGTGCAGCTTAGGAGAAGAACAGAAGTAAATCTTTGGGAGATACAATAAAATAACTGTGTTTCCTAATCAAAGAGAATTGTCTCACATAGATCTGTCATTGGTACATCGACCCCAGATGGCTTCATCTATTCTACCCACATCATCTCTAATGTGCTCAAAGAAATGTTACAAGCAGG